CAACCACTCCCCACTTACGTCACCTACCTCACCACTACTTACATTACCACTTACCTCACTCATACTCACTTTACTACTACATACGTCATTACTACCCACTTTACCACCACCCACTCCACCACTACCCCACCTAAACCCACTCAATCCCATCTTAATCATACTGTATATACGTCCATAGACATTATACAAACTAAAACTAAGCCAACTTGGAACTCCCAACTTAACCCAATCGACCAACTTATCACTCCACCCCCGCCAAACCCAACCCAAATCCAATCTAAAGCAATTATCTAAACTCAAACTCAATACAAAGCATGCCATCTTATTTATTTGCCCCCCTCTTTTTATTTTCATGGCCCAGGCCAAACGTGTTGAAGAGATCTACCAAAAGAAGACCCCAATCGAACATGTTCTTATCAGACCCGATTCTTATATTGGCTCAATTCAAGCTGAAACCCGATCTATGTTTGTCTGGTCCGCTCAAAATCAACGTATTGTTAGGCGAGACATTACGTACGTACCCGGATTGTACAAGATCTTTGATGAAATTCTTGTTAATGCCGCTGATAACAAAACTAGAGATCCAAAAATGACAACTATTGAGATATCAGTAAATAGAGATACTCAAGAAATTTCTGTTTTTAATGATGGGGCTGGTATTCCCGTTGTTCTTCATGCCGAAGAAGGTGTTTATATTCCTGAACTTATTTTTGGTCATTTACTAACCTCTTCTAATTATGACGATGCTGAGAAAAAGATAACCGGCGGTCGTAATGGATATGGGGCTAAACTTTGTAATATCTTTAGTACAAGATTTGAGATAGAAACGGCCGATCGTAAATCACGTAAAAAGTTCCATCAAGTCTTTACTCAGAATATGTTGCATCGTGATCCACCTACTATTGAGACTTATACGGGCTTAGAATTCACTCGTGTTACTTTCATTCCTGATTTAGCCCGGTTTGGTCTTCAGAGTTTAGATGAGGATTTTATGGCTTTGGCGGCTCGGCGGGCTTATGACTTAGCTGGGACTGTACCTGGGATTAAAGTGGTTTTTAATGGTCAAACTATTCCTATTACGGACTTTAGGTCTTACATTTCACTTTATGTTGGTTCGGAAGTTGAAGTTGTACATGAGGCTAAGGGTCGTTGGGAAGTAGGATTTGTCCTGGGAGAAGATAAGTTTCAGCACGTATCTTTTGTTAATCGGATTGCTACACCAAGAGGAGGGACACATATGGCCCATGTAGTAGAACAGATTATAACGGCTATTACTGAAGCTTTAAAGAAGCACGATAGAGCTCTTAATCCTAAGCCGGCTTTAATTAAGTCGCACTTGTTTATCTTCCTTAATTGTTTGATTGAGAATCCGGCTTTTGATTCCCAGACGAAAGAAACCCTTACTTTACGTCCGGCTGCTTTTGGATCAACTTGGGTGCCTTCAAGTAAGTTCTTATCTGGTGTGTTACAATCAGGTATAGTAGAAAGAATTGTTAGTGCTGCTCGAGCCCGGCAAACGCAACAACTACGTAAGACAGATGGCCATAAGACTTCTAAACTAAGAGGAATTCCTAAACTAGATGATGCTAATAATGCTGGGACTAAACATGCGGCTAAATGTACGCTTATTCTTACGGAAGGAGATTCAGCTAAAGCCCTGGCTGTTTCTGGTCTAGCTGTAGTAGGTCGAGATAATTATGGCGTCTTTCCTTTACGGGGTAAGTTACTTAATGTCCGTGAGGCTACGCATAAGCAATTACTAGAGAATGCTGAGATTAATAGTATTAAGAAGATCTTAGGACTGCAACATGGGAAGACTTACGACTCAGTTGCGGCCTTAAGATACGGTCGAGTAATGATTATGGCTGATCAGGATCATGATGGGTCGCATATTAAGGGTTTAGTTATTAATATGTTAGAACACTTCTTTCCTTCTCTCTTACGTATTCCGGGCTTTTTAATGCAGTTCATTACCCCGATAGTTAAGGCTTTCCGTGGGAATGACTCAAGGGCTTTCTTTACTCTTCCGGAATTTGATGCTTGGCGGGCGGGACCGGAAGGTCGTAGTGGCCAGTGGCGGGCTAAGTACTACAAAGGTTTAGGAACTTCAACGGCAGCTGATGCTAAGGCTTACTTTAGTGCTTTAAGTGTACACGTGAAAGAGTTTGCTGCTTTAACTCCAACTGATTCGGAAAGATTAGAACTGGCCTTTTCTAAGAAGAAGGTTGAGTGCCGGAAAGACTGGTTAAGAGCTTTTGTTCCGGGTACTTTTTTAGATAATCGGGCGCAAGTTTTGAATATTGCTGAGTTTGTTGATCGGGAGTTAATTCATTTTTCAGTAGCTGATAATATTAGATCTATTCCTAGTGTTATTGATGGGTTGAAACCCGGTCAGCGTAAAGTTCTTTACTGTTGTTTTAAGCGGCGTTTAGTGCAAGAGATAAAAGTAGCTCAATTAGCCGGGTATGTTTCTGAACATTCAGCTTACCATCATGGCGAGCAGTCTTTATGCCAGACGATTGTACATTTAGCCCAGGACTTTGTTGGATCTAATAACTTACCCTTACTTAAACCGATCGGACAGTTTGGAACGAGATTGCAAGGGGGTAAAGATGCTGCTTCAGCTAGGTATATTTATACGGCCTTAAGTAATGTAGCCCGCTTAATCTTCCCAGCAGCTGATGATGAACTACTAGTTTGTGTTCAGGATGATGGGATTAAAGTTGAGCCGGTGAAGTACGTACCTATTATTCCTATGCTTCTAGTGAATGGTTCGGAAGGAATTGGCACGGGATGGAGTACTAATGTTCCAGCTCATAGTCCTCGAGCTGTTTGTCAAGCTGTCCGGGCTATGATTAAAGGAGAAGTAGCTGAAGAGTTATCTCCATGGTGGCGGGGCTTTGTTGGATCGATTGAACAATTAGGAATGGGTAAGTGGCGGACGAGTGGCCGGGTAGTAGTGAGTGGCCAGCGGGTGGAAGTCCGAGAATTACCGATTGGTCTCTGGACTCAGAACTATAAGGACTTCCTAGAGACTTTAGTGGAAAGTGGTGAGATAAGGGACTTCCGGGAGCACAATACAGATACAAAAGTCTTATTTGAGATAACGGGAATGAGTGGTGGTGATTTAGAAAAACGGTTAAGATTGACTTCATCCTTATCAACTGGGAATATGGTAGCTTTTGATGCTACTGGTCGTTTGCAACGGTATTCAACGGCTAATGATATTCTGGCTGAGTTCTGTGCCGTACGTCGGGAGTTGTACGTACGAAGGAAAGCGCACGTCCTGCAGAAACTCGGGGCGGAAAGAATGGTGCTGGAGAATCGGGTTCGATTTATTGGGGCAGTAGTAAGTGGTGAGTTACAGATTGTACGCCGGAGTGAATCTGAGGTGGAAGCTGATTTGGAACGGGCTGAGTATGCACGTAAGGAAGGATCGTATGACTACTTACTAAATATGTCTATCTCTACTCTAACGGCTGAGCGACAGGCTAAACTAGCCGCAGAAGCAGAAGCCGCAGCTGCCGCCGAAGCAGCTGTCCGAGCACAAACTCCAGAGGATATGTGGCTGGCCGATCTAGATGCACTAGAAGCAGCTTTACCGGAAGAAGAGCATGTTGATCCAGAGGCTTATAAGTCCAAAGGCAATAAGATAGCTAAAGGAAGAGTGAGTAAGGGAAAGAACAGTAAAGGTAAAGAGAGTAAAGTAGTAAAAGGTAAAAGTACGGGTAAAGGTGCAGTGGGAATGAGTAGTAAGAAGGTGGCTGGGAAAGGATCAAGTAAGAGTTCACCTAAACCCACGGCAAATGTAGTTGATATATCCGATAGTTTGAGTGCTAGCTCGAGTGATATTACTGAGTTTTCATCTTCTGATGTTAATCCACGTACTCCTAAGCGGGCGGCTCGAACGGCCCAGAAGCCGAAGGCCTTGAAAACAGAGAGTCCTCAAGCAGAAAGTCCTAGTAAGGCCAAGCCCTGGTCGCGATATATAGACTCTTCTAGTGAAAGCAACCAAATGGAAGAGTAGTGATCTAAACAATAAATTGGGTTAAGTTAAGTTAAGTTAAGTTATGTTGTGGTGTGATGTGGTATGGTGTGGTGTTATGTTGTGGTGTGATGTGATGTGGTGTTAAGTTAAGTTGTGGTATGGTATGGTATGGTGTGGTGTTAAGTTAAGTTGTGGTATGGTATGGTATGGTATGGTGTGGTGTTAAGGTGATATGAGTTAAGTTAAGTTGAGATGAGTTAGGTTGAGTTAGGTTGAGTTGAGATGTTATGTTAAGTTAAGTTGATATGGGTTATGTTAAGTTAAGGTGATATGAGTTAAATTATGGTGAGGAGATGTTAAGTTATGGTGTAGTGGTAGATAAAATAATGCATTGTTTATTGTAAGTGGGTGGAAGATAAGGACGAAATGATCTGCTATGAATGGGATGAATGAAAAGAATAGTATTAGGTTGTGGATGTGGATGGGATTAGATTGGGGCCGTGTTTTTGGACATAGAAGAAGAGGTATGTTAGGTCTAGAGCGATAAGAAGAATAAAGAAGATAAAGGACATTGCGATAAGTACACCGGGCTTTTTACGAGATCGATAGGTCCAGTAATAGCCTAAGAAGTCATGTATCGCTAGAGTAAGAGCGATAAAAGAGAGAATGACAAAAGCAATAGCGCTTTTGCCTTGGAATAGAAGGGTAGATAAAAGCATGAGAGTGGCAACGATTAGGCATGCTAATTGGGAAATCCCAAAAAGAAATATGCCGGCACAGATTAATCTGATGACTTTATAGATTAAAGGGAGAGATGGGTCGGTGTTCCAAAAGTAGCTACAGAGCGAAACAAAATGGAAGCAGGCAAAAGCAAAAGTCATGAGATATAGAGTGTCTAAGGACTGGGGAACTGTAGCGAAGATAAAGATGTTTTTATAAGGTAGATCGAAACTGGCATATTCGCTGGATTTGGTTGAAATATCAACAAGGACTAGTGAAGCCAAAAGGCCCATTTGGGTAGGAAACCAAAGTAGGGCTAATATTACATCAAGTGGTGAATAGGTCTCGTCTATTCTGGGGATGGATTTAATAAGATAGCTCTTGATTCTTGAATGGAGAGGGATAGTTGATGTAGATGAGGTTGTGGGACTGCAGGGCTCGATGTTGACGATAGCGGTCGTGGAAGTGCTGGCGATAATGGATGGCGAGTCACTGATGATAGTGGACCCTAGATCTCTGCTTTCGGACAGGATGGAGATGAGGCTTGTACCGTTGTTTGGACTAGAATTGTCACTATGGACCTCTAAAGCAGTATAACTAACATTGTTCATTGACAAAAATTAAGATAGCGAGTGGCATATCGTGCGAATCTTTGGTCTTAACAATCAATTTGATAGTTGAAATGCTTGTTGATGCTCGGCCCAACTCAATGCCAACCCATTGTAAAGTGCACAGATAAGTTTATGCCAGCCAAATACGACCACATTCTACCTATAGGTGATGTAGTTGAGTTAGAGGTCAATAAAGTCATAGTGTATATTTAAGCTAGCTCCTTTGGTAGCTATGTTTTATTTTAGATACGTGCTATCTAGATCACAAGCGAGCAATTATATATAGAATAGCAAATAAAGCAATATGAAGATATCTACATTACACCAGTACGAACACGTGCCTATCGCTATAGATCAAAGACCAGCTAACGTCTCATTGCTCAATCGGATGAACGTGATTTTTGAAGAGGCGTTGGACTTCCTGGGCGTGGTTTTTAAAGTTATCTGGGGCACCATTACGCTTCAGTACATCCTAAACCCTATCTTTTGGGTGCTAAAGATTGCCACGATTCGTGGAATGAGAGGCCTCACTTATATTGAGGCTATAAGTGTACTTGAGTCTCCATGCACAGGTGACTTGAGTGTTTGCTGGCTAGTGAGAATGCTTGATGTCTACATAACCTTTATCGGGGCTTTTGGTATTCTGTTGCTTATCTTTAACTTGCTGCCCCGAGTGAGCCGGAGGTCAAGTCGAAACGTGTCTTTGAAACCATACGTTTATGCAATTGGGTTGGTATTTCTTGTATACATAGGCGTGTTTTGGCTTTTCACAATTCCAGTTAATGGCCTGCTTCTTTCTATATTTATTGCCAACCCATTGGCCGGTTGGCTGATAGCCGCCTTACTACTAGCTGTCTTGCTTATTTCAACTGGGCTTATATTCAAAAGCGACTTTCTCCAGGCCATTCAGACTCTGCCCATGCCAGTCAAAGCCTTAGTTTTCATTCCCTTTGTGCTTCTCTTAGCGATTTGGTTACTCATGCTTGTTTCCTTTATCGCTCTATTTGGAACTAACTTCCAAAAGGCCTGGGATCACTATATGATAAACATGTCATTGCACTATGCGCAACATCCTATTTACCAATAAATGGCCATCAATTACACGTCTTCTTCCATTTTCAAAAAGGTCATAATAAACGGCCTTCACTTTGATACACACCAGAGCCGAGTGCAGGACATTGTGCCTTGCGCGGCACTTGGCTTTATTAAAGAAACTGGTTACTATTGCTCCATTCGTACTTCTGCAACAATCGATTCTTAACACAAATTCACCACCAATCCAATATTTTTAATTTAGATAAGAACTAATCATACCATAAACGAACTAACTCCAAACACAAACACAAACAATATTCTTCTATAAAAGGATATAGACAAATCTATATATAGAAGAACGGATGGGATAGTATGAAAGGTAAGAAGGATGAGATAGAGATAGAGATGACGCCCATGTTTTCGAATAAGTCTGGTCACGAAGCTGTTAATCTTACCTCGGAACCATCGGAAGAAGACTCAGAGACTAAAAGAGCTTCTAATACAACTAGTATAGATGTTCAAAGTTACATTGAAGCCTTGCTAGGCGTTTTCCTCGTTGCCTTTTTGCTTTGGATTGTTGGCCCGTTAATACACGCGAGCTTATTTAGTCAGTCTTATCACAACCAAATTAAGCGCTTCCCCAGCGATCGGATGGTAATGAACAAGCTTCATGAAATGATTCCATTCCGCCCAATCATGTGGAATATTGGAAGTTGGCTCGTTCTGGCCTTATCTGGCGCCAATCTTTTCTTCTTCTATTACAATTCAATCGCGCGAACATTAAAGCCATTGACGCCTAGATCGTGCATGGGCCTAGCATTTTTTGGGTTCATACTGATTGTTGGTTTAGAAGGGTTGCTCTATGCTTTCTGCAAAACGTACCTCACGCGTGCATTCTTGCATTGGTTCCGATCGAGCCCGTTTATCTGTTACGGACTGGCTACTCTCGTTAGCATCGGTACATATCTTATTCTATGGGCTAGCTTAAGGATTAGTGCCCTAAATACTGCTCGGGGAAGTAAGATGATCACTATGGTAGGATTGCCACTTCTCCATTTGCTTCTAGCTGTAATAGTTAGTGGCCTCATTGCTGGATTTGCGTCCATTTTGGTTCGCTTCGGCCAAGACATATCTTTTGATGTGTCCACACTGACGACCTCTACCCAACTTCCATCGTCCACCGCAACCACAGTCGCCGACATAATAGTGATTTAAATGCCGAACTCGCAGAAAGGGCATTATCTTGCAGCTGTTTAAGATAATGCTAGATCAATAAATCACATGGTCTTTAGTTCTATGTTTTGATGTCGGAGGTGGGCTTACTGGCATAGCTGTGTAGTGTGTACTACTGTTTTTAGCCTAAGGCTATGGAAGTTGCGTATAAATATAGTCCAATACCACCTCAATACTAAGTCATGCCAGACAATCTAAAGCCCAAATAGGGCGTTGAAATATACGAACAAACGACTTTCTAAGCAAATAGTATGCGTGACTGCCTTTTGAGTATTTAATGTGGTGGGCCAGACTTAAGTATTTCTTAACTATAGCCGCTTAATGTAATGGCTGAATGAGTCGTCTGGCTAGACTTATTTCAAAGATTAGAAAGGCAATTCATATGCATAGAAATCAAAGTGTTATGGTATACTTAGGTGGTATAGGTAGATAAGGCGGTAGGGTGGTATCTAGTCCTTTGGTTGGGGTTTGAAAGTAGTATGTAAACTTTATTGAGTTGGTATTGGATTGAGTTAGTATTGAGTTAGTATTTGAGTTATTCTGGTGGTGAATAGGAGGTGTGCTGAATGTATATAGTATGGGATGGCTTGTCTTGGCATTCTATAGCATAGGACTAAGTTGGTCTAAAACGTAAATGGGGTTAAGCTCAAAGT